TGTAATATCGGACCAGGGCGCAGCACGTCATTCGCCAATTGCGCCGTTGTGGACCACCAGAAGCTGGAGTCTAGGTCTTCCTTGGCCCTGCTCGACAATCGTCATTCCTCGCTCAGGTCCTGGCAAACCATCGAGATTCTCACCCGTCGATCAGGTCCATGTCAGGCTTGTCAGTTGGTCTCCGCTGTGGGCTGCACTGCTCAGAATGGCACTGGCTTCTTGGAAGCCAGAGCCTCAAGTTAGGTTTGAGGTACCTATGCTCAAAGCTTCCGAGTACGCAACATCTGTCGCAATCTGAAGGCCTTGAGGGTAGTCTTATTCATCGCAACCGGTATGGAAGTGCACACAGGTTGACGAGGTCTTGATGTTCTTTGAACGACCACGAAGTTGGCTCTTCACAGCTTCGTAGACTCGCAAAAATCGGATCTTCCGCCCAAGATTGTTGCTTGGCCCAAGTCCATGTCGTGGGCAACCTGACTCTTGCATCACGGCTTAGCTGCGACTGCTCCGGCGTTGCCCAGAGAGGCGGGCCCTAAACTCCATCGTATCGTTCCATGCCATTCCATCAACACCCATCTTCTGGGGGCTGGTCACTATTCCTGAGCAGGAAAGAGGAAGCCACATCGCTCCCCGCGCCACAGCGTTGCGTTACCCGCCGACCTGGAACATACCCGCTCGCAAGGAGGGGACGAAGGCAACCTAACGTAAGGCGGGTGAATCGTGAGTCGTGACTGGGGAAGGGACTTGATATGCCGAAAACGGACTGAGGGGCCGCTGGGGTCCTCCAAAAGCTCTGCCGTCTGCGATGCTCGCCCAGAAGAGCGTAAAGAGTATGGAGTCGAGGTACTGGCATACTGGCAATCCTTGATTTTGACAAGCCGACCTCTACAGTTTTTCTTCATGATTGAATATTGCACCACACTGTCCGGCGTCGCTAAAGAGTCGATGACTGCACTGATGGACACCCAATGGGCCAATACCCTAGACCACACTTGGTGAGAAGCACTAGCAAATCTTATTCACGTTACCCTTTGTTGTGCCCCGAGGTCCGCCGTTCCCGGGGCTTCAGTGCTGTGTCCATACCTACCGTGCTCTTGGTCGCTGCGCAGTGGAGTCACGAACCTCCCCCTTGGGGGAAGTTCATCAAGCCCTGGCCCCTGTGGACAACGAACCCAATCAAGCGACCGAAAAGCTGGGAACAACTCGAGAATCGACCTCCAAGCGAGCCGGGAAAAATCTTGGAGAATACTGCGGTAGAGATGGCCAATGTGGAAGAGCCAATCGGGCAAACCACATCTGCAGCGAGGACTGCTGATGGCTATGGGGACAGATGATATGGTCGATTTGGGCGTCGAACGGTTTGCGCACCGAAGAACTTGAGATTGGGGTACCATACACAGTCGAGTCGAGATGCTGCTCCAGGCTCATAGTCTTGTCCCTTTGCCCGAACCTTCGAACGACGCATTTTTGAGTGATACCTTGTTCGTGTACCTCAGAGAATGACCGGCTTATTGGCGAGTACACTGGGGGAAAAGACCTCGAAGTGACTGACGTTGAAGGGCGGAACCGGTCGGCAACTGGTCATCGGGACAATGCGACTGTGACGGTTGACCTCGTAATAGCCAAATCATTGTGCATGCATAATGCAGCGAACGAATCTAGGCGAGTTATGCAGATCCACCGCAGCCATGCTCAAGTGTCCTCGTCAACTGTCAGTGTCAGGTCCACCGAGCTCTTGGAGCCGGACCCAAAATCGGCAAAGCAGGATCCGTCTGGGTGGAGAGAATGAGAAGGCCCAGAACGTACTTGTCCCAGCAGAGCGTGCCGTGAAATAGTGGGCATCTCTGTGGTTCAACCGCGGTGCACGTCGGCCGTGGCCCATCCTCCTGTCAGTGGCTGGAAACTCGCAAACGTCTCCCGCGAGCCCTCCTCCGGCCAACGGGGAGCACAACCCGTACCAGGGGTGAGGGGACAATGTGCAAGGACGCTTGACCATTCCTGTAGCCCCGGTCAAGGCAGAGGAAAACGTTGGACCGGGACCTGGTACCCTGGCCAAACCGACAGACAAGGGGAGGGAGGTGAGGAGGCCGAGCTATGATCCCTGATGGCGAAGGAAACGAAACGGAATCGGGGTTAGTGTTCTCGGAACAACAGAGGCAGTGCCAAAGCAGGGCAAAAGAGACGGCGGACCCTAGGCCGAAGCGGCAAGAGGGCATGCCGTCACCGACAGCAGGTGGATGCAGACAAGAGGATTGATACGTATCCATGGTTCGAGTTGTTGTGATGTCTACCGGACGAGGAAATACGGACCGTGAGTGTAGAAGAGGGGGCGACGCAAGAGGTGTTGAGGAAAGTCTGGAGGAATTAGATCCGTAGCCGTTGACTTACTGCGTCGGTGACCGAAGACTTACAGGCTACAGCTAGATGCCTCAAAGTCAACCCAATGACGAGCATTGAGGCTACGACATTCCCAGCAATGAAGAACGTGAAAGTCAGGTTGGGCGGGCAGAAGATGGGCGGGGAGAAGCCCTGAACCCTGCCCCGCTCCCTGTCTGTTCAGCCATTGACTGGCGAATGTCCATTGGTGTCCGTCGCTCCGCTGCAGCAACGTTGTTGTCGGTGGACTGGCAGCCGCTCAACTGTTGTGCGGAGGCTGCAAAGATTGCAGAGGAAGGTCGAAGTACTCCGTATGGATACTGGGAATTCCACTGACGGTTGGCTGCTGCAAGGTCTGCTCTGTGACGTCCACTGCATAAGAGTTGGGTGTAGAATAGCCCGGGAAAAGACGAGAAACCCTCGCCAATGGCACCATCCTGCTTCTGCACTGCACCGCGTGAGTACGAAGGGTGCCATTCGACAATGGGCAGCGTAAATTGCCCATGGTCATGACAGAACAGGTGCCTGAAAACTCTAGAGTCCAAGGCACGTATCTTTGGCGTCAGCAGAATGTCACCAATGGTATTGTGGATTGGTGGACTGACAACACCACAAAACCCCGAACCTTTGCGAAGGCTAGTGGGCTAGCTTTGCGCACCGCGTTCTGCCGTGCCGTTGGCATAGCAGTGACGCAGCTTAAGTGGTTTGAGAACCGCCTCCCTCTCGTCGCAGAGTCAGGTTCAGTCTCTCTAGGCAGTGGACTAAACCAACTACCGTGGAAACACGAGAATCACGTCAGCCGTACTGTCTTGCTCTATATCGCCGGTGTCTTGAATATCGGATGGGAACCAGCCGTGGCAGGTCTCACCGGCGTAGACGGACGACTGGTGCCATTAGAGCATGACTCCATCCGATAGTTCTGTTGTAGTCATTGGAAAACTCGTTGAAAACGCCTTTCAATACTCCGTATACCTAGGCTGGAATCAGTACGGAGATGTATTTTCCCCATTCCAAGAGAAGTCTCACCCCAACGTCGAAAAGCCGAGGGCAAGCCGTAAGCCGCAAACGAACATGCAACATGAGAGCGTGGCTCCGGTATAGGGCACAGCACAAAGTCCTGAATCCCGAAAGGCTTGGGCCGTCTTTGAGGCAGAGATCTCTGACCGCCGCGTCAACCAATCGACCCAGTAGCAGAGGCGGAGGCAGAGAAAATCGCATGGAGACGCTCAAGGGAGCTCCTCCACTCTCCTCCACACTGAGCCTGGGGCCTTACGCCTAGTCGACGGCGACACACGGACCAGGGGATGAGGTTAAGCTGTATCTGGCGTAGAACGGGTCGCTGGGTACGCACTGCGTAGGTACTCCATAGTTGGGCTGCGGGCGAGCTTGTTGTTGACAGAGAGAACTGGAAGGCGGACTCCTAACAGAAAGGGTCCTTGTTTTCTTCTTTTGCCTCGAGGCTTGACCGCGTGAGAGGTGACTTTGAAAGAGACGGGGGTTGACCGTGCCGAGAGAGTCAGAAAAAAGAGAGACAAAGAAAGACAAGAGAAGAAAGAATAGCACGAAACGACAGAGGCGCCCTGTTGCAGCAGTTTCTGTACGTCTCCGTCCCGCAGACCCGTCTCGGGGGGTAGAGGCAACATGCAAGAGAAGCGAAAGCGTATTGTCAGTCGGTGTTCGTAGAAAATTGCAAGTGTCTTGATCATGAGTTGTGTAAAATGGCGGAGTTAGAGTATCCGCCGTACATCGTGGGGTTTGGCCGGGGGACGGAGGGAAAAAAAGTGTGCAAAGATGACTCCCATCAGAGTTGCAGCTAAAATGACTAAACCAACAGGACGTACCTCCCCTCCTCCGTTCCTGCTCTTTGTCGACCTCGTTAAACGACCTCGCTCCTGCCATTCTCGACTGACTTGATGGGAGTTGCCTATTGAAAGGTAGACAATGGGTCCCTCTTTCCCTGCACCATCAATTCTAGCAATGGACTCTGTAATTACACGGAAGGAGAGGATGGAAGACAATGCAAGAAGGTCTACCTAAGGTACCTTAGGTAGTCTGGCCTTCCTTCCTTCCTCCCATCCATCGCACATGGCACCAGTTCGTTCCTTCCCTTCCTTGCCTGACCTCACCATGCTTCCCTGTACCTACGTATCTAGGTACCTCCTCTTTCGGCCGGGATCAGGGCAAAAAGGCCCAGAACGCAAGGAAGGAAAGGCTCTGAGAGATAGGTACGTATCCTTCCCTGTCTCTACCTTCCTTCCCAATCGGTGTCTGTTGCAGGTTTCCCATTCAGTCCGGGCAAGTTGGAAATAAGTACGTACCGCCCTCAAGTACCCAATGTTGTGTTTTTCCCCCGTTCCCCTTCCCCTCCAGACTCCAGTTGCCCTCCTGCCCTCCAAAGAAAAACACAAGAGGTAAGCACGCAGAAAAGTTAGCTTGGATCTTAGGTTGGGTTTTTAGCTAAGACAAGGAAGGTAAGCTTGAGTTTCCCACCAAGCCTTTCCATCCTAGCTCCCGGCCACCGTCTTCCACACCCCCCGGTCCTTTTCCCTCACACTCCCTGCTCCAGTTGCTCCTTCTGGGTACCTCGTCTCCACTTCCCTCGCCCACCTTGCCCACGCAGTTCGCTCAGTGTCTTCAAAGTCTTCCCATTCTTCGTTTTTCTTCGTCACCGTCGCTGCAAAAAAGCTCGCACACACCCCCTCTCCGTCCGGACCCACGCCTACTCCGCTGTAGTGTACGTACCGCCGCCCACATCGAACCCTGCCTTGCCTTGCCTCTCTACCTTGTCCTCCTTGCCGACTGCCACCCGTCTGTCCTGTCCAAACATTTTCTTCTCCCACCCTCCTTGTGGGAAATATCACCTGGCTGGGAACCCATCGCCGTCTGGTCTGGTCTTGTCTCGACTTGTTTTTCGTCCGTCATCTCTTCTCCCGCAGAAGCATAGTCGCTCGTCGCAAACCATAAGCTAGCACCCGTCGCCAGTCGTTCGATCCCCTCTTAGACTCTAGACTTCTTCCGTTGTCTAACCCAGCAACACCTCCACGGCCTCATATATCGACGACCGCCTCACCTCACGTCTGGGCCTTTGCGTTACGAACCCCCAACTCCCCACGACCCTTCAACGACGCTGTCATCCCCTCACGTGTGCGCCCTGCAGCAGCAAGACCCGGAGCTATCAAGTCAAGTGTCGCATTGGGTCCATCGTCAAACCCATTTGATTGGAAGAGGAGGCATCTGCACCGGGGGAACAACAACGCACGCATAACCAAATTCCTGCTGGACCCCAGTACCAGCACACTCACGCCCAACCACCGCCAGACAGGCCGAGGTACCCTGCACCAGTTTCGTACACGTGGGACGACTTACCGCCCTTGACAAACGGCCGGCTCGAACATCAGATTTCACTTCATTGGAGAAAACCAGGGCATTTCCACAGCGCTTCTACACTGCCATCACTCACTCAGTCACGACAGCCATCACCGCCTCCGAGGGGAGAGAAATAAAAAAGAGTTCGAAACAGCACAACGCCACGTCGCTGTTGTCGGCTGGGGGAAAGAGAGACAACATCAGCAGCCAGTACAGGATCACGAGAATGTGGAGTGGGAAGATCCGGCTGACAGGAACCATCTGAGTGGCGTCGACAACGACCAAGTACACCCCAAACAGTACTTACACCAGTCCAAACCCCAACACACCCACTTCGCGACAATAACGGCAACCTTACACGACTTCGAACAGGATACTAAACGCATGTGTACCTGGAATGACATCGGATAAGAATACCTGGCACAACACATTTGCTTCATCTCATCATCACTGCAGCAGCAGCAGCATCTCCCCGTTCAACCCAACGTCTGGCTACCCCACCGCGCCCGCCAGAATACAACCAGGCGACACAAACCCCCGAACATCCAACTTCGACATCTGACGCAATAGCAACCACACAGCATCGTCTCCAACGTTGCTAAATACTCCAAACTTCTCGGGCAGACATCATGTCTCCCAGGTTGAAGCCATTGCTGCTACCCCAGCTTGTCGAAGAGCGTCGCAAATTCGAAGAGCAACAGCCCGAATTCCCAGAAGGCGAAATGGACCGACAGTACGTTTACTATACGACGAATTCCTCGTCTTCCGACGTTGCATCACCCGTCACACCTACCTTCTCGGCAAGGGGGCACCTACGCTACTCCAGCTCATCTTCCTCGCTCGACCTCCCGCCCACCTGTGTCAATGAAAGCCCATCATCGCCAACATCAACTATCCACACAAAGTCCTCCAAAAGGCCACTTCCTGATGTGCAAGAGGAACCGTTGGAGCGAGACGAACTCGACGAAAGCACCATCTTGGCCGAGCCGTTCGACTTATACAACTGCTTGTGTAAGTCAAATTTTGCTTCTGATGACTCGTTCGACACTAATATGCCAAAATAGGTGACGAGCCTTGCATCCACCACGAGAGCTCAGAGACGCTCAACAGCGTGTACCCTGCAGGCTTTGATATCGACTATGACCTTGGATTTTCCAGTGATGGCGATTTTACATCCACGTTGGATAGAAAGAGGAGTGGAACCGAATCCCCTTTCTCCGGCCTGGCCACACGTTTGGGGTCACGATTCCCACATCTCTCGCGCTGGAAGTCTACAAAGCGAGCACAGTTGACTGCTTCGCCTACCACTGAGTTGACGTTTGAGAACGCTCATCCTATCTCTCGCGCAGCATCATCAAGTCGGTCTTCCTCCTTGTCTGGCCCTACACGGCAGATACTCGACAGGCTCAACGAATACTCGGTCCCTACTCCCGCCACTTCCTTTTGGGAGAGCAGCGAAAGTGTTGACTCTCCGGCTCCCATCGACATTGAGAAGGCCAATAACGAGAGAGAAAGCATTGAACGTGACCGAGCCCTCGCCGCAACCCCTCTGCTTCCTCCCCTCTTGATGAACAGCCCACCGACAGAAGTCTCTCATCCCAGTCCTCTTCAATCTCCCAGCGTGGATCCGTCAACGCTCTCATTGGAAATTCCCTCCCCTCAGCCGATGACTCAGATTTCTACGCCCTCGCTTAGCGCGAAGCCGTCAGTGTCTTCTTTCCGCCACGTTCAATCGAGCCAAGAGCTGCCAATTGGGTTCCCTTCTATTGTACAGGACCACGACGAATGGTCGGATCGCCTTGGGCATGCCAACTTCACCATTACTCCGCAACCTTACCAACCGGTGGAGGCTGACATGGAGACTCTCCGGCTTTTCCGAGCCGATTGGGAAGCCGCTCGGGTCAGCTACACCAAGCACCTTGTGCGAACCGGCGAAAACTACAGCGAGACTTCCAAGATCTATGCGCTCACTGAGGCAAAATGGGCCGAAACTGAGAAGAATTGGCGAGCCTTCCACGAGCAGACGATGGATCGCATTGAGGCTGCCAACAAGTCAAGCAGCCAACGACCAGGAAGCTCCCGCAGCCGCAGTCGTGGTCGCGTTCGCGCCAGCAGTGGCGGCTCTGCCATACTACGCAGACCTACCCAAGACGATGCCTTTGCCAGTATGCAATGGCGCCGCCTCGAAGACGGCCTACCCACCGCGATTCCTCGACTCGTTGATGCCGAGGGCAAGTTCCCCGAGCGCGGTGATGAAGATATTGTCGGGCCTATGGAGCGCGACACGAAAATGATTCGCTCCAGGAGCGAGGAGCGCAAGGGAGGCCGTTTCTGGCGCAACCTGGCCGAGAAGGTTGGCATTCGCAGATAATGAATGCAGCTTTTAGTCAGACACCGCCCCTCAACATATCTTATTTGCGTCGTCACTTCGAACACGGACTTGGCGGCAAAAGATCTCTTGTTACGATTAACGACCCCGAAGCAACGATGATGATAGCGTGTGGCTCACATCGAACATCACCATCTTTTTTTTTTCTTTCGAATACATTCTTCACACAAGATACCCGACTATCGTCGCTCATTTCACCACCACGCCTTGACCAGGCTACGTCTTACGACATCTTACGAACCAACTTTCCTTTTTTCGTTTCTTCTTTCTGGTTTCAACCACCACAAATCTTATTGTTTATGTTTAGTATCTAGTACTCTTATTGTTTAAAATAGCACGCGCCCATGGCGGCGCTGCAAGGCCTGTAGATACTTCCTTTCTTACGGGAGAAACATATGGAGCAACTGGAAGGAGTGTTCAAAAAGAGGGAGAAAAACTTTAGACTTGGGGGAAAACCGCACCGGAGTTGCAGACCTAGGCCCACGGGATAAAGTGGCAGCCTGTTTATTTGGATTTACTTGGGCGTTTCACAGGCGCAAAGCTCGGCGCTACGGTAGGACCGAGCCCCGCCATCTTGTACAGACTTGTTTCTTTGATCTGGACTCTGCCACATTGGCGAGCCCTGCTGCGACCGTCTTTGGTCGCAGTTTCAAGCCTCCAGCTTTGAGCTGTGGGCGAGCCACTGGTGTTGGGTGGTGGATAGACTGCCATCACATGGTGGCCGAAAATAAACCTACTTGAATACCTGACATTCATCCCAAGTTCTCGCGCTCGTGTTCGTGTCTAGATTCACACCATCTTTGTGATGTATGCCTCGTATGAAGCCCAGCGTGGTGTGCCTCGTAGAGCGGAGAAGTCAGCTTGTCGCATTTCGTCAGCCGCTGGGCATATTGGGGAACCACGACGTCGTCCCCTCCTCCCCTCCTCTAAGCTACAACCCGACCCCTCGCTTCGTACCTCTGTCCAGCGCGTCGCGATCGCGACGGATGTAACGCTGTCGATCGCCGGGGGCCTGACTACCCCGCGGCAAACGGCCCATCGCGCGAGGGGAGGTAGCTAAGGTACATGTACTGCGTAGCCTGCTAGTCTTGCCGACTCCCCCGCGCGAGTACTACGTGGACGACGAGTGGGATGTATTACTGGTGTCTCCTACTTATCGGTATCGCTCAGCAGCTTTCGGCTTTGAGCGTGTGTTTGGGTATATTGGAGAAAGGGATTGGTTTCCTGCATCTGCCGGTGACAGGTGCGCGTCGTGCATTGCATGGTGAGGGATGGGTAGATTACCATGTTGCATGCCTGCGGACTTGCAGCGGCGGCAGCAGCAGATACGTTTACATCGGATTTTGGGGCTGGGGAAGTGTACGGTAGGTATGTCGAGGCGGCTCTGGAGGACTGGGGTTGGTCTGGGCTGGGCAGGGCCTGGAGTCAACGGGGATGGGGGATACTGCAGTGAGAGATGGTTGTGGGCGTTTGACGCCACGTGTTTCAGATGCAGGTCGCCGCGACTTTCGCTGGAAAGAGAGTGGGAGGCTGGATGTGCTGGATGGAGATGGGGAGATACTTTGATGTCTGGCTTTGGAGGTGAAATGGGGTTGGTAGGGAGAGGAGAGGGTGGTTGATGGAGGTATGAGGGGTACCTTTGTGAAGGCGGCTCTTTGCAGATTGTGCTGCGGGTTGCCTCTTTTTGCACTTTTGCTGTCTCCTTCGTCCAAGTGAGGTACGTAAGGTAGATACTCGGCCCGGCTGTTGTTCATGTTTCTTCGGTGACTTCCTGGAGTGTGTTGAGTATGGTGGCGCAGCTTCATGTTCGGCGGGAGTCAGCGTGTCCCAATCATCCGGGCAGGAGTGATGGAGTCTGGCTCCGGCGGTTGGCGTAGTTGGTCACTTTAGGTACTTGGCATACGGTTAAAGTATCTACAGGAGGGATATGGGCTTCTTTGGGGTTTGACAGGCCTGGGCCTGTTTGCAGAGGGTAGGTGCAGGCGAGGAGAATTCGGGAGGCGTTGATGGCTTGCACTGTTGGGGTCATCTGCGGCTGATGAAACATGATGGCAAAGATGGAGAAATCGTTTGGATGAGATGGTTCCCCGGAAGAGGAGGGGATTAGGATGCAAGCAGCTCGCCGTGCGGAGAGTTCGGAGGTGAGAAGCGAGCGGGATGGATGGGTGTCTCGGTTTCTTTCTCTTACCTTGGTTATCTTCCGGCGGGATTGTGAAATGTGATCACTCAGGTTTCAAAAGTCGGAACGGGACGTAGCGGAAGGGGATGGGAAGATCTTGGCTTTGGTCGTCGGAGCTGAGCTGAGGGTTCGGGAACGGGCAAGTAGCCAAGTGGGAAAATGTGACAGATGTCAAGTGTAGAAAATGACCGATGCAGACGAGGCTGAATCCGAGCCCAAGAGGAATAGAGGGAAGAGGGAGGGGATATGCGGGCGTGATGTGGCAACGGGGACGGGCAGATGCATTGCCGGGACGCCATGCGCCGGGCGCCGGGCGGTGGCTTTTGGAATGACGGAGAATCATTCGATTTTCTCGAGGGGAGGGGAGTTGGGATGCTATTTATGGGCACGGTGACAGATTGATGCCGGGAAGACTGAGTGTACATCCGGACCGGATGTCAGATGGAATCTTGATGGAGAAGATCGTTGGGATGACATCGTTCTCCTGGTTTGCGGACATGGGTGGGTCCCGACAGAAGTTCGGACCGGGCCGTGGTCGTTGGTGGTGGGAATCGGGTCACGGAGGTTGGATGTGGAGCCGGTTCGGGTGAGGTGGGGTTGGAGGGGGCTAATTACCGGCGCTGCAGGTAAGGAGGAAGGTTCTCTTGACAGAGGATATGATAAATGGTTGTATTGATTACTTGTAGATGTTTGTCTCAGGGCCTGAACACATTGTAGATTATCCCCCTTTCCTTCAAGTAATCAGCATAGCTGCTTGAGCATAGTGCGAATCGTAACTTCTGTCCTGCGTTTTAGGACTTATTAATATTTCAACAAACCTTTTTGCCTCTCTGTCGCTAAGTTGCGTTTTCAAGTATGCCCATCTCGCTCTTGCAAGTGCTAGAGCATGTGAATCCACATGCGCTCCATGTTCAATCAGCAGCTGCGTAGCATCCCACCTTGGCGCCAAACACTCCTTCATTCTTTCTCGTGTGATGTCTAGGATGGAACCCTTTTCTTTCTCGACTGCAATGCGTAGGATCATGTCCGCAATCCATTCCGTCCATATAGTCGACCCGTTTCCGTGGAGCTGAAAGTTCGGATCGGCCCCTTTTTCTAGACAGAGCCTGACCATATCCAGCTGTGGTGGAATATGGTGTAGTGCGTCTACAAGAAGTGGCCAATACAAATGTCGCTCGTCGTTGGATACGTGTGTCGCGTCGCTTTTCCTTGTATCGCCAATGAGTTGTCTAAATCGGAGTACTGGAGACATTTGGAACTTTTTGATCGACTCAGAGGAAGCCCGAGGTACTAAACATCCTGGAGATACCTTCTTCTCGACATAATTCACCGCACCAAGCCGCACTGCAAGTGAAAGGAAGCCGGATCCCGCCTTCGTGTTGTACCAGTTGCCGAGACCTTCTGAGCGGGATACCGAACGGTAGAAGCGTGCTTGCCTCTTCTCATCATCACCAATCATCCGTGCGGATGAGTCGCGTAGAGAGTCAAGTAGGTCTACCATTATAGCCGTATTCTCTTTCTTGACCTTGGATGCCGATTGCAGACAACATGCAGCGAAATTGCTCATGTTTCTCTCCAGTTCTTGGTCGCATTCTGCGTTAGCGTCATCGGAAGATTTACAGGTAGATTTGCCAGTAGGCAGTTTGCCACGAAAGGGTTGGTGTCTATCCTGGATCACAACGGTCTTGAAGGCGGACAAGTATGCAGAGCATATGCGAAGATGACTGTCGAAATCCGGCCTGGCGGCTTTGATTCTCTCGTCTATAGCTGGACTCAGGATGTAATCCCTTACAGTCTTGTGGAGGTATTGTACTGTTCCAAACCCCTCGACGCCTTTGGCGGCTGACGAAGGGGATGTCACCTCAAGCAGCCCTCGACAACGACTGTTAATTCTGCGACGAGCTGTCTCGGCTCGCTCGCGGACCTCATCCTGGGAAAACTCCCGAACACGGAGCTTGATGGGGTATCCAACTTCCTCGTCGGCAAAGTCAAACAACACAGCAGGCGGCGATGTCTTCCAGGCCTCCACGAGCAGGAAATACTGTGCTGCGTGTTCAAAGTAAAACCCTTCTAGAGAATCGAGCATTGTGCTGTAAAGAGTCTCCAACTCCTGCGGTAACTGATCAAGTCTTCTTTGCATGTCGGAAACTCTGTCATCGTTTCCCATGCCAGATAGAAGAGACCTGACGACCATGCTGACCCACAGGAACACTCCGGCGGCTTTGGTTGCAATGCGATCTTCCAGCTGACTAGCGTATTTTGGCTCCCTTCTTGCCAGTCTTGCAAATCCCGGATCCTCAGCAAAGTTCTTGGCAATGAAGCCTTTAATGTCCTTATAGGTCAAGTCTTCGAGCTTCAGACTCGGTTCGTGCTCGAAAGCATCTTCAAAGACGACCCATGGACGACTGGAGACGCATACCTTGACGTTTGGGCATTCAAGGATGAATTTGATCAAAGCAATGAGTTCTTTCGGGTTGCCAGAAAACTCGTCAAGTCCGTCGATGAAAAGACAGATATTTCGTTCTTTCTGTGCTTCGATGACCACAAGCCGTATCATTGCTTCTAATTCAATTTCTGTCATTTGTGAGGGTTTATCGTCAAACAGTGATAATGCTTCCCACCAAAGGGGTGCCACACGGGGTATCATTTCTGGGCAATGTTGAAGGATTTGAAATATGAGCGACATGTAAAGACCCTTTGGTGAGGCCTCCAACTCGTTCCCGGACGCCCAAAAGTAAAATGACGCGATTATCAGGGGTCTGCTTCCAGCCCAATCAAGCAGATCGTGACGGCATCGCTCGGATTGATTGTTGGATGATGCGTCAGGGTCCATCGCATTAGCTGGAAGGGTTTCCGGAGCTGAGCTGCAGATGAATTTCATGAGGGTAGACTTTCCTGATCCCGCTTTCCCTGTAATCCAATAAAGCTGGTCATCGGACTTGAGCCAGTCTTTGAAGTCGGACCACTTCCCTGGATCCTCTTTGGGATGCTCGAATATCCAGCGGAACGTTTCCTCGTGAGCATCGATGATCCTCGAATGTCGATCATCCATCACATCGTAGACAAAGCTTGCCAATATCGTGGCCTGAAGCTGTTTTTCACGATCCCGAGGTAGATTGATTGACGGAGGGCTCGCTTCTTCGCCATGGTGCACCCTACTGGATGTATTGAGGAGAATCCGCTGAAGTATGCCTTGTCGCAATTCCATGGCGCTTTTTTCGCGCTCTTCAGGTTCTGCATCAAGAGAGTGAACTATGAAGGCTATGACCGCATCTCCGGGTGCATTCCAGGAGGCTTCCTGTCCTTCAACAATAGAGGTGCTTGTCAGAGTGCCAGTGTTGTCCTGAATAATGTCAAGCTTTTCCAATATAGCAATCTGTTGCTCTTCTGACTTGGCAGCGTACTCTCTGAATTTGAAACAGTCAGCTATGCGCCACACATCGATACCATGTTGGATTGCACGGTCATCTTCCATTATCGGGGTTCGTTGGGATTGGTCGCGCTGGACGGCCTGCTATAGCCAAGGAGTGGTTTAGCTCGTACCTTAAAGAGTGGAGGAGCGACGTGTTCAAGCTCTGACTGAAAGATGCAACCTCGTTTCTGAGAGCCTCGATCTTGTCCTGATTCCAGGTCGCCTTGAACGCGTTTAGAACGACACTGCGCACCGTCTTGCCGTTTGTTATACCGATTCGATCCAAAGACTTCGAAATGTCTGCAAACCTCTCGTAACATGCTTCCGCAACGTTTGCGACCTCTACATGCTCCAGCGATATTTTCGAATGTTCGGAATCGGGGACCCTCAGTCGTTGCAATGTACTCTGCTGGCTGTCCACAAGAAAGCGAAGACTCTGCAAGTCGCCAGGAGCACTCCCGCCAGCACGGTGAATTTCGAGACATTTGTTGCCGAATTTTGTCGCGAATTCGACGAATTGTAGAACGTTGCCGGCAATGGCAAAAGCTGCAGCCCCTTCTGCCATTTCGCCGAATTTCCGTTCGTGTTCTGCTACTCCCAAGTGAAGAGAGGAGAATGAACATGGTAGTATGATGAGAATGAGTAGGAAAGGCAAGAGAGCCTGCTTTCACGTCTTCACACCATCACTCGCTTCGCCTCAATGAAAAGGCGTCCGTCATCAGCAGGCTCCCAGCCTGTGCAGCCTCAATTGGCTGTGGCTAGGTTCATGAACTTGTTCCTATTGTCACCTTCATTTAGACATCGGATGGCTATTGGCTCAGCGTGCATGTGGCGTTCGGTCACATGCATTGCATATTACAAATGTAGGCAGGTTAGCATGCAAATCTTACTCCTTGGGTCGAACATGCGAACTACTTGTACATGTAGGCAGTTTCGAGACGCTCAATGCACTCAACATGATCGTCGATCTCAGTACCAGGAAATATGCCTCCGTAATGCTCCTCTCAAACGCGATGAAAGATATGTCACTTGTGTCAAGGGCCTCAGGCCAGGATGCAAATGTGATATACAATCAAGTTTGAAGTTTCATGGCTTCTATAATCAACCCTTCTACATCCACTTTTCTCAACAGGAATTCAGGGAAAGTAATCTATCATCTGTCCACGCTCAGCTGAGTCAACAGTCAATGACCAAACGCGACACCGTTGACAAATTCGCATGATCTTACCACCTGCCATTCATAGCTTTCACACTGAAATACACTCTTATGGATCCTCTCCTGTTTGTTCTGGCTCATTCCCACCCTGGGGTTGAACTGTCCTCCCGTTGTCAAGCGGGACATTCGTATGCTCAGATTTCAATGGGACTATTTCGAATGTCTTGAATCGATTACGCATGACGATGTCAAGCTCCGAGGGAAACCCGCTTTCTTCGGTCGTTTGTGGTATCAACTTCAGCCGGCGTGCAAGTCCAGTTGACCGCACCTCTGGTAAAATTTCCGGGGGCTCATCTGTGATGCCGAATGCATGGTACTCCTGACCTGGAACTTTGGCATAACCGAGACGATACTGCTTCAGCTGCAACTCCAGTCGGCTCTGCATGTACCATCTCTTGCCTTTCTCTCCATGAACATCCATGTCTAGTGGGTCATCAATATCGAACTTCGATTCACCAGATTTCTTGCTGTCCGCTTCACGATGTAGAAGCCGACTAGTTGAGGACCAAGATATGATGTCTGCGATGGAGAGATAGCCCCGTGGTGTGCGACGAAAGACTGACGCCTGGATCAGCTCAAAAAATACGAGTCCGGCACAAGATGCGAGTCCAGCGATGACGACGACGAATAGCGGCATTGAGAAGCAGACAGCACATCTGTCGCCATGGGCTCTAGAATAAACAATGATGCTGGATCCGATCAGTGTGGGGAACAAACGTTGGAGGAGCTCCCAGAACATGATCCGTACAAGCTTCCAATGTTTATTCATGAATGCGTTGTATATTCTGACCGGTAGGAATGAGCAAGTGTAGTTGAGAAGCAGGGTATTTTTGGCTGGCTCTCCAGGTTCCGATGGCCTTGCCATACGTGCCAGAGGCTCGGTATGGGCCACAAAGAGTGATAAGGTGGTCCAAAAAATAGACAAGAAGCTAACCGTAGTAGTGGGAACAACGTCAAACAGGACTATGCCCCAATTGCGGGATAAATTTTGCGATTTCCAACAGTAACCCCCATCTGGTGTGACGGATGGGGTGATGCTGATGCCGACAATGAACAGAACCATGAGCGAAAAGGCCAAAGAGAAGTGAATGTAGGCAAAGAGTGGATTGGCAACCGCCCAAGCAGAATTATAGCGTATTAAGGCGAGAGTACGTATAGGAATCATTGAAGACTTGCCATCGTCCGAAGAATCTGGATAACTTCTCGATTCGCTCCGTTTGACCGGAATGCACTCACTCGAAACTCGAGGAGAAGCATTGGGGGATTGATTTGGATGATCTGAGCTATTTCCTGTCAAGTTCCGCAGCTCAACTGTAGACTGGACAATTCTGGGGTCGCCGTTTGGATTCGAACTTTTGGCCTTTACATCTGCCAAAGCATCTTCTAACTCTTGGGGGGTTGAATTAGCACTCTGTCAACATCATGAAGAAAGACCAAAGGCCACTTAAACTTACCAGTGTCATCCGTGCCAAACCCATGCCAACATTTGCCATTTTCTGCCTCCCAATATCTCAAATATATTTGAATCTTTTCCAAGTTTTCGAACATCGACTCTCTCTTTGCTATCGATGATCCCTCAAAGTATTTGGGAACATTGGAGTGCCTAAACAAGACCAATATGTCTGCTATTGAAACTGGGTCCCATCGCAGCCCGGTCTTGCGCTGCCAGAGGTATATAACCACGATTATGAGATACAGCTGAATGACACTGTAGAAGGCAATCAACGTATAACATGCCCAATCATTGACATGTAGACGAAAGTGTGTATCATCCCAGCTTTGATACAGTAGAGCCGATTTGAAACCAATGATGGAGTAGCTTGGTATGTAAATGGTATAGGCGAGTATCAGGAGCCAGTTCTTAGTCCCCCATGCAACCCGAAAGCTTGGTGCTGGGAAGTAGCTTCGAAGAATCGTCTCGCCCGCAGTAGCGCCTTCTTTTTGTGCACATAAAATGAACGGCATCATTCGGAAGAGGTTGAGAAGCACGGCCTCGAGATGAGCTACCGTACAAGTTCCGATCAAGATGAGCAAGGCTAGCAAGGCATAATAGGCTGGCGTGCTGACGACGAAGGAGGTTCGTTTTTCGAAGACGATGAGACCCGCCAAAATACCACAGTTGATTGTGATTGAGCTGAATAGAGCTGTATTGGAAAGAATAAAGGATCGATAATCCAACTTGTCCCGCTTTGGTATCGTTGGCACTGTTGTAAGCCCAGTAGCCGTGGTTTCCTCTGTAGATGAATTTTGATTAGAATTTTCTGATTTCGTTGCCTACAAAGATCGGGCCCATGCTCTCTGTACTTACTGCTCGCTCCATTCTCATGTGTTGATGAGACATCTGGCGTAGGACTACCTGTGCGAGGAGGTCCCTGAGACAAACCCTCAGCCTGACTTCTTGACGCCATGGAGAGTGGACGGGGCCCAAAGGCTGGCCAATCGTGAGGCGAGTCCCTTTGCGGCAATCACACTCGAAGTGATTATGGACTACCTAGTTCTCAATCTGGGAAAAGAGTCACAACTTATACTGCAGATGTGAACAGAGTGAGAAGAATCCAGACTTTCTGGTGTGGGTAGGGGGTGGAGGCACAGCGGACGCGAACCACTTCGCCAGAATGAAGACATATCCAGGCTACAGCCTCACATGACAAATTCACCGAATCGACCTGGGAGTGAGGCAGCATCTTGTGTGGTATCTGGGTTTCGCGAGTCTCGAGGGCCTGAGGATCCATTTGGTGCAATCAACTCACGTCAGCGTGCTGAAGTCTTGCGTTGTGGCCGGGGCTAGGCATGGCTTTTACATGTTCACATACGTCCGATTGGTGATGTATACAGATACACAATTTTCAGTCGGCAAGTACCTAATCAATCGGTCTGAATTTAGCGCTCAGCTAGATGTACTGTCGAACAAGTGCATGCACCAATAGTAGCCTTATCTCTCTGCAATGATCGGCACACCCCAATGTCTGTGGATGGGTCACCAGAAAGTGCCAGAATGATAATTGGGAGCCTTGGCCGCCCGAGCTAACTTTCGATGCGGCTGATCAGAATCAGGATAGGCGTGGCGATAAATGTATGAAGGTATCCTGGTATTGAAGTATTTAGTTCATGTCATTGCAAGGTAAGACAAGCGTGATGGCGCTTAGGATGAACAATTTGTTTTTCTGGGGTCTATAGTCAGTGAGACCAAATGGCCAAAAGCCTTTTCAATTCCCTTTGACTCCCTGCCGAAAACATATTTAATACTTGGTAGGGAATTGGCCCTAATATTGATTGATTTCAGGATTCGTCTCTGCAGGGAAACTTGCATGTGGCTTTGGGCGGTTGCAAAATGCGATTCATTATCCGTGATCGAAAGCCCAAGGCCCTGTGTCGGCTGTGAGCCTGGGATATTGCGACACTATCTGCAACCTTTATCCACAAATGTCTGCAAATAAAGGCCTAAACGATTCTGGTATCTCCAGCAATTCGTTGGAAGCCCAGAGTTCATGCTTGCGACAACAGGTTGTTAACTCAGAGCTCACAAAAAGAAAGCTTGAGATTTGATGAGATCATGGCCTATTCGATGCTTCACGATTGAAGGTCAAGCTAGGCCCTATTGCGCTTCCATTCTGACGCTACGAGGTCTTCAAAGAGGCAGTCGACTCGACCTATCCCAACTCCGGGGCTCCTAACTCCGTTGCGTATATTGGCCAAGACTGCGGGCATGTCTTGTCTGAAGGCGATTTCCCGAGAAATTCTCTGGTCTGGTCGATCTACGGCTGGCTTGGGAACGACATCAGCCTAGGCAAGTTTCTCCCATGGACGCAAGATTGAAAACATCTAACTGCCGATCGCCAAGATCCAGGAATCATCACGAATTAAGCAACTGGAAGGTAAATCGAGCTTGATAATGCGGGAACTTAACCAGTGCGGTGAAAAGTGATGAAGGTTGACTGTCTATATGGAAATTAAGGGCAAAGTTCCCACAAAGTATGGTTGGCCGAGCAAAAGCCTATATACGCGAACCTACGGACATTGCTCAACGGAGTTCACGTGGCGAGTGTAAGTTCTGAAATAGCCAAAACTATCACAGCATCGCCCAACAGTCAAAATAGACACTAGAAACATCTTGGTTAACGATTTGCTTGGTACGCATGAGGTCAGCAAGCTGTTCAAGTCTTGAGTAAAGTGTGCACAGCAGTTGTAGGTCCAAAAAAGCTGCAGCCGAACCTTTCATCCCTGCCAAACTTTAACGGAGAATATGATAAACAGGAAAAATCACCGACGACGAACCACAGAATCTAGGCCTCTCTACCAGGTTGTCGCGTGCGGAGTGAGCTGTCAGTCAGTCACGACAAGTTAAGCGCAGCGTTGCGTCCGATTCAACCCCCGTGAGTATCACCTTGGCGCGCGCGGATAACTCAGTCTCGACTTGCGGCGCCAGGAACATCCATTTTTGGTGCTGTGCCTGTGAGAAGTAAATTCAAACGTCTAGGGGCCGGTTCGTCGGTTGGAAATAGAATGGACTGTTTGACATTGATGGTTGGTTGGGTGGAGATCCATCGTCTTAGCACCGACATTAAGTTCCAGATTGTGCCTGGCCGATCCGGGGTCCAATCGGTAACGCATGAACGACAGCGGGAGAGTAACGATAGTGCCGAGTCATTGGTCATAAACAAAATACTGTTAATTGTCAGCCAAATACCAAGCTGTTGCGAAAACGAGGCCCCTTATTGGACCGAGATGAGTTCCGAATCAGGAGTGGCTAAGAAAACGTGTGCTGGCAAGGCTCCTTTTTGATGCCGGCCGGCGCGCCGGTGCCCCGGAATAGTTCACGTCAAGACTCAAGGCCCCTCCGGGTCCCACCCGGCCGCCAATAGCGGCAGCGAATGATGGGATGACAGCCCCCAAAAAGCCATCTACTTGGTAAGCGACTTTAGCTTAACACCCGTTTGCTAAGATGGGGAAACCTCATGACTATGGTGCAATTGGATGCTCAAAATAGTGTCTTCCTTGACCTAATCCACTCGAAGTAGCGCGCAGTCACTTAGACTTGGAATAGAGATTGTGTTCTGTACCGGACGAACCTTCTAAGCGAAGGTCATAATGGCTTCCTATTATGACTTCACGGAAGATATAAAGAAGATTGAGATCTCATCTCGTCGAAAGGGAATATTCTAGATCATCATCCGATCCATCAAACATCAAGCGCAAGCGCCATTCTTCTTTTCCATCTCACCTTTATATTTTTCTTATTCCTTTCTCCCATTCCTTACCCGTACTTCTCGACGAAGCTTTTCAACATGACGACTAAGCAGGTTCTGTCTCTTCTTCCTCTTCTCTTCAGCGCGGGCTGGTCATCCCCGGCGCCGTTCCCTCCCAAGGGAGGTTACCCCGGCGGCTTCCCGTCTCCAGATGGCAAGCCAGGCTTTGCGCCCTCCGGAGCTGTCCCGTCGTTTCCTCAGGAGTCTGGTGTCGCGACCCCGGTCAACAACGCCCTCAAGCCCGCCGCCAGCACGACCCCAGGCAAGGGGGGCAACAACACAGGCGGCGGCCCGACCCTCCCCGCCGGCTACGCAAAGATCGTCTTCGAGGACGACTTCTCGACGCAAAAGGCCGGCGCCCTCCCCGACTCGTCAAAGTGGACCTTTGATGTCGGCACTGGCTACCCCGGTGGCGCTACCAACTGGGGCACGAATGAGATCCAGACCTACACCAAAGATACCAAGAACATTGCCATCTCGGAGAGCGGCACGCTGACTATCACGCCCATCAAGACCGGCGAGGCGTGGACCTCATCTCGCATCGAGACCAACGCCGCGTCGGACTTTACCTGCCCGGCCAAGGGCAAGCTGCGCATGGAGGCAAGCATCATGATTCCGGCTTCGAACCCGGCAACCCAGTCCGGTATCTGGCCCGCCTTCTGGTCCATGGGCTCCGCCTTCCGCACAAACGTCACCTCGTGGCCCAGCGTCGGCGAGATCGACATGCTCGAGGTCTCCAACGGTGTGGGCACGGTCTTCCAGACGGCTCACTGCGGTGTCATCAACGGCGGCCCATGCAACGAGAAGACCGGTCTCAGCTCCAGCGCCGAGTTCCCGCGCGGCGAGTTTGTCAAGATTGCCTGCGAGGTCGACCGGTCTGCCGGCGGCGGTTTCGCCACTGAGAAGCTTGTGTGGTATCTCAACGACAAGGTGACCAAGACCATCACGGGCCAGGAGATTGGCGACGAGGCCGTTTGGAAGAACCTTGCTCAGACCCCCAAGATGATCCTGCTCAACGTTGCTATCGGTGGCGAGTTCCCTGATGCTAAGGCTGGTACCAAGACGCCCAATGCTCAGACTGTCGGCGGCAAGGATTCCCGTATGGAGGTCAAGTACGTTGCTGTTTACAGCACTTGAGTACTTTCTTTCTTGCCATCTATAGGTGGCGACTTTTACTTCTCTTCACATTGGTCTTGCTCTGATCTAGACATCGGCGCTGAAAGACATTTGCATGGCAACTTGGAGCGACTTTGATATTGTTTGCTTAGTTTGTTGGAGTTTGCGAGCGAGTCTTGTTTTTGTATATTAGCATAAGTACGTACGCATATGAAAGAACACTCAGACCACCACCTCTATCTTCTTTTCCCTCTGTGAATTGAAACAACTTTGTTTGGGCCAGAGACAGTAGCCATCCGCCCATTTCCCTTGATTGAATTTGACTTCAGAAGCAGTTGTTGAATCAACTCACTTTCAAGTTTCAAGACGAAATATTTCAAACATCTTTGAAAGTCCCAGTACTCATCAGCAACACAGCACATCTCACTTTGCGAATAGTTCGAAAGAGTTTATCAAGCAGATATTCAGAACCGTTTTGAACAAGGAAAAGTCTTGTTGTATTGTGCCACTCGAAAAGGGCGTAAATCGCAGAATTACGCGGTATACTATGTACAAAGAACTTCTAATATGTACCGGAAAGATACGTCTCCTCTATAAACAACCATCTATCGCTTTTCCCACGGCGTCTAGATTCTGACTTAGTACACTCTAGTACTTGGCAGAGCGGCGGGCCTTGCGGGCACGGCGGCGCTTGCAGCCAGAGGGGCTGCTGGGCGCAGGAGCGGCAGCAGCAGAGGTAGAGGCAGCAGCGGCAGAAGAGGTGGTAGCGGGGGCAGCAACGGTGGGAGTGGCCGAAGCGGCAGCGGCGCTAGTGACGAGGGTAGTGGGGGCGGCAGCAGCGGGAGCCGAAGAAGAAGCGGCAGCGGCGCTGGTGGCGGCCGGGGCGGAGGCAGCGGGAGCGGAGGAGGCCGGGGCAGAGCCGGAAGAGCCACCACCCTCGTAGACAGCAGGGCCAGGGATGACGTAGCTTTTTGATTGTTAGTTTGTTGCTTTTACGTGCCTTCTCATTGGTGTTGGGTGAAAATGGGTGTACTTACTTGGAGATGGTGTTGTAGATGTTGATCAACAGGCCGGGGTCGGTGGCCTTGTAAGCACCAGGGAAGACGACACCCTCGGGCTTGGCAGTGCCAGATCCTTCCACTTTAAGTTGATAACAGCTGCAGAGTCTTTATTAGCTTCCTGATCATGTCTGTGATGAGTGGAAGTGGTTGAAAATACCTCATGTAGTACTGGGCACCGTTCTCGGAGCCGGCGGCGTGGAGAGCGACGGTCTCGGCACGGAGAAGGTAGTCACCAGGGGCGATGTCGGAGGGAATGACAACGTTCTGCTTGCCGCAGCCCTCGTTGATCAGGTCGTTACCCCAGGTGTTGTTGTTGGCGAAGTAGCCGGACTCGAAGATCTTGAAGAAAGAGCTGGAGCCATCGGCGGTGGCGGCGTCGGCGACGGAGCTCAGGTAGACCATGACGGGGCCGTGGTGGGCACCTCCAATGGCCTCCTCAGTGCAGGCACGGGTGTTGTGCTGGTGCATCTCGACGGTGATGGTGTCGCCGGCCTTGACGCCGCAGGTGGTGGTGGCGGCAGCGGAGTTGGCGTTGCAGCGCATGTCGTTGGACGTAGGGTCCTGGACGGGGGAGTTGGAAGCCTATGATTTCTTGTTAGTCTCTGATGATGTTACGCTTGGGACTGCTGTGTAAGTCGACGTACGGGCATGCGGACGCAGCTGGACTCCTGGTCAACACCGTTGACCCAGAGTTGCTGGAAGATGGCGTGGCCGGCAACCATGTTGGCCATGGAGGCGGTAAGGGCGAGAGCAGCGACAGACTTCATTTTGACGGTGATTTTTGGTTTGGTTGTTGTTTTGAAAAAAGAAGGTGATTTTCCGGGCGTTAGAAGAATGGCACACAAAGGTGAGAAGTGAGTGAAATGACGCCGGCGTCGAGCTGTAGAGAAGGACTGAAAGTAAAGAGTGGACAGATGAGTGACTGAAACTGTTGAAGAGACAAAACAAACTCTCTTCCCGAGAAACGAGGAGAGCGAGATGCTATATGTATGGCCTCTCTGGTTCCTCGCATCACCCCCCTCCATCCCCCTCCCGCCTTCAACCACCAACCTCCACCAACATCGTCCTCGGTCTTCCTCCTCCTCCCCACCTACCGGACATGGTCAGGCCAGTTTAGAGCTGCCAAGCCTAAATTCTGGAAAGGGGGACCGCAATCCCGTCCCACTGGCCCACGACGCCGCCTCATCGGTTCAACTAACAACCAGGGATCTGATACCTCGAAGGGAAGCGTTTAATCTCTATACCGCAAGGGTTCGTCAGGAACTGAATGGGCACACAGGCTGCAGCACCGCTTTCCCGCCGTAAAGAAGCAGTCCCGGCCGGGCATGCTCATGGGTGTCACCGATCGTTCATTGGAGCAATAATCTTGAAAGGGGTTAACGTTGTGGGGATGCCCGCTGTTGTGTCTAAATTGCGGGATGTGTGCCTTGCAGCTTCGGCTGCGCGGGTGACGCGCCCAGTTCGGGTTTGTCGACCAGGGGTTCATCAACTTGTAGCCAGTTGGTGCGGCTTCTGTACGGATTCGCTTTTGCTTATTCGGCTGGGTAGGTTCGCAAGGCGGGCATCCCTCGCTTCAGTCGTCCCAACTTGACCCCAAGCTTAATTTAACCCCTTGAAGGACATCGCTGTCACTGGAGTCGGATCCAAGTGTTCAACCACTGGCGTGTTGGCAACCAGTGCTGACCCCCCGGTTTTTGATCCCCCTTCGCGGCTGGCCGTCCGAACCTGAAACACAAACAGCATGTGGCCCCTGGCGCTACTCAGTTTGGCCAAGATAAGACAACAGCAAAAACTGCTTGCTGTGCCTTTTTCTCTTTCAGGACTCATAGAAACAGGTGAGTTTACAGGTATAAACGAACATAGGCAGAATTCGGTGGAACTCTCGTACAATGCAATATGTGTCAGCAGCAAAAGTCTTACTAAACTTTGGTAGGCGACGTTGGATAGATTGAACCTTAGCCCTCGCCCGCGAGATCGACGGAGAATCACTAACATATACTTTCCTTGGTACTCGCGTGTCTCCGTGGTGCTGGACCGTTTGGCGCAAATCAAGTTAATCAACCCAGGTCTTGAATGATTCCGATTGGGCAACGGAGTGATCCGCGATCGTCATCCTACCCAGGGGCGAGCGACGGTCCTGGGCCTCGATGGATTGTGTCACCCAAAGTGGTCCAACCCTGGATGAGCCCTGCAAGCCCCGTCTTCAGTGGTCGAAGCCTGTACCGCTGGCGGACACGTGCGTTACGGGTAGAGATGATTTTTGGTCCTTCTGGACTTCTGAAGTCAGAGGGGGAGGAGAACGATGCAGAACACAGCCGCTCTCGAGTCAATATGCTGGCTCTGACAGTTCCCTTTGCGGTTATTGATTGACTCGATTCGTACGCTGCACTGACGCTCTCGACCAGCTCCAGCCGTATATGAACGCCTATTGTAGATGCCAATCCGTCTCTATTGCTTCGCCAAAAGACAAACTTGGATCAATATTCCCTTCAACACCTCGGTTCTCAACTTATCAGCGTATGTGGAGAGTATACGGTGGTCCCCCAAGCCTTTAGGCGGGAAATCATCTCCGAGTGAAACGAGCCTAGATCTTGGGGGCCAGTTCGGGGACGACTGAATTTTTTCGATGGGGGGGTTTACCCTTTTAGCGCAGCGCACCGGTGACCGCTGCACGTTTAATCATTTCGAAACCAGGGCCGCCAGTTCTGGCGCCTGGGCCATGCATGGTCCATGGATGATGGCGCCAACCGTCAACGAGCAAAGGGGGGGGACGGGCTACGGCAGGATGGAAAAGTCTTGGCCATATCGTGCCGCTCTGAAAAGAAATAAGGCCAATATTTTCGACCATGCATCTGGCGGCAAGTGAGGATATCGTACGTCATATCCTGTAGTGAGGTCCAAAGTTCTGAAAGTCTGAGAGCGATTTCTTTGATCGTCTCGCATAGTTGTGGTATTGTCCGAGATTACTCCAAGACCAATGACACTTTGTAAAATAACCATAACTCTGATGTTCGTGGTACGCTACCTTACGCTGGAACTTTATTGGGTTCGTCTCAGACGCTCAGCCCAGAGTCGGTGATTAGCAATAAATCTTTAGCAAGTTGACAATGCTTTCGATCCATTTGCCGTTGAATTGAGCCAGAATATGAGAGAACGTCATTTCATGAACGGCAGATGCAGCAACGGCACTATTTTGCCGGTTTAAAGACGGTGTGCATCAGTCAAAAATTAAGCTTGATGCCATCTCTGATTTAAGGTAGCCAATGGTCCTAGGCTATTCTTGACGACACATATTGGCCCACTTGACTGAAGAAATCTTCTGGAACCTGTGGATTCCCTATCAAGGTATCTCAACTTCATCTCGTACTCGTGCCGAATATCCGAGTAATGTTTCTGCCCCCTCCATTCCCAAAGTCCTTTCCTCAGCTTTTGCACCCTGCAGCTCTTTGAATGCTGCGTGTTTTCTTTTGCAAGAAGCTCACCTTTGTGAGAGCAGAATTTAGTGATAAGGTACTCGATGAGGATATGATTCTTCTCCGGCCCGATGGCGGGGCAACATCGTGAGCATCCCCGGCTTGACTATAAACCTCTTTTGTTGGATTCTCAAGCCGCGGTCTTCAATGCTCTCGTCTAAGCTTCTCATGCTATCCCAAGACCTGATGGCGTTGAGTGCGATGCTCAGGAGACGACTGGAGACTGAACCTCTGGAGAGCAAAACCCTAGTGGATCGCAATGGTGTTGGATCTTGACCAGGTATAAGTTCATCAATGGTCTTGCCAACTGCTGAATGTGTTTTATGAAACATGGATCAGGGGTATGGCCATCATCCATGAATTCGAGAAGATAGCCATCCTTTACCGCTGGTCTGTGATGGTCATGACCTGTGGCAGTGGTGCAGGCGCATTTCTCATCTCAACCGCAACGCGGGTGTCGTGTATGCGTCGGTCGAACATCTTGAATTCGAAGACGCCCTCGAGCTCACGCCGAATATTGGCCAACTGCTCGTGCGCCTTGAGGATCTCATCGGGCTTGTTGTCTTGGTGAACATGAACCTTAATCAGAAACATCCATCGCTGCCCGGGATCCGCCGGTGACATGGTGTCCCATGTAGCTGTTTGAGTGAGAGGACCATTGTCGCCGTTCATCTGAAGAATGTAGTGTCTTGAGAGGCAAAATTCTACATCTTCTCGGAAGAACTGATAAGTTTCCTCAATAGCCTCGCTTTTGAACCTGCATATCGTCAGATCATCATCACCACATACAACCAAGTGAGGGACAAACTGACTGGTAGTTGTTGTCTTTCATCACAGACAACAAGTTTCGTTGGTCCCAAATTTCAGTCTTCTTGCGCTGAGTGACCGACGAGCGGACCTGGGGAGGATCAGGGAAATCGGTCCATCGGAGGGTGCCGGCGCGTGCATTGAAGTCCACTTCCGGAGCGGTCGGGCCGAAGTCCTTATCCTTGAAGACCTCATATCGGGCCTGGAGGATGTAAGATTGCCGACTCAGTTGCTGATGCAGGTCTTTCCATAGCATCTGGATGTCCTTGCGTGGTGTTTTGACGATGGAATTTTGATTCGAGATTCCGCCGGGTTTGCCTGGGCCCTTGAAATAAAGGACACGATGGAGACTCTGCCAGGCCGGCATGGCGCAGAGACCGCCGAGGACGGAGCATGCCGCCTGAATATCATCGTCGTCGACGAGCGTCGTGAGAAAGAGCTCGTACATTTCAATTGACGACGTTGGCGATGGTGACGGCAGATTTCGGGAAGGACTTGGATAGTGAGGCGTGAGGGGTGAGAGTGAGAGAGAGATTCATGAAAAGCGTCTCATTGAGGTGAATGTGAAGGTCCCATGAAATCGCTCCACCGATACGTACCTGCCGCGAATCCTGGGTCACGTGCTCGCCCGTCACTCAGGCGCGTTGGCTTCGTCGCGCTTTCTGCCGGTAAAGTGGCCGTGCCCCACCAAAGCTCGCTGCTTCCTCCCAAGCTCTGAGTTGCGATTATCGACATGCGAACGTCGCTCTGGAGAGTCAACAGCGGAATACTGTGCCCACTGCTTAGCAAGCGAACGATTTACCCCGCTTGGATCATGTCGACCTCAAGTTCGTCTACCACGAAGCGGAAGCAAAGAGAATCAATTTCTCCACCGGCGGTCAAACGGAAAGTTCAGAGCGGCACGACGAGTAAGCTCTTCTATGCCTACCTACATCATCGACCACCCTTGACATTTGACCTTCTATAGAAAACGCAGTTGCCAACTTCTTCAAACCTACTTCTCAGAAGCCAAAAGATCGCACAATATGGACCGAACGCGCACCGAACGACGACACCCCTGCGACACTGCTCGTTGGCCGCTATGAACCAGAGGAGCCCCCGACCGAGTCGGAAAAGAGGAGGAAGGTAGCTGCCTTTGACCTGGTATGACAGCTATGCAGCTTCAAACAAACTAAGCCATTTCAATTGACGACTAGCCGCCCAGGACTCGACCCTAATAACAACTGCTTCGGGCAAGAAACATGCCGACGCCGCCGAGGACTGGAAGTGGTGGCATGCTTCTGTTCCCGGTAAGCTGCGGGACATGTATAACAACGAAGGGTATACTACCAGCACTTGGCGCTTAGAGCGATAGACTTCAACTAATCTAGCTAGATATCGTATCGTGGTACTGTCCAATCAAGCCGGTATCGTTCTTCACGCCGACCCGAAAGCAAAAACGCCGAAATCAACAAAAGACCGAGCCTCGGCGTTCAAGCAAAAGGTCAATGCCGTCTTGACACAGCTCAACATCCCGACCACGATATACGCAGCCACAGAGAAAGATATATACAGAAAACCGAGGCCAGGGATGTGGAAGGAACTTTGCGCTGATTATGACCTCACTGAAGACGTCGACTTGGAGGGGAGCATCTTCGTTGGTGATGCTGGTGGTCGCATTGCGGCATCGAAATACTCCAAAGACTTCAGCTGCTCCGACCGAAATCTTGCCCATAACATTGGGATCACATACAAAACCCCAGAAGAATTCTTCCTCAACGAGAAGCCTCGGGACTTTGTCCGAGAATTCGACATCGTCCATTTCCCATACCCGGAGGACCCCAATTCAGAGACATCAAGTGCCCTCTTTGAGAAGAAAAACAAGCAGGACATTGTTCTTTCCTGCGGTCCGCCAGGTGCTGGGAAGAGCACGTTCTTCTGGAAGTACCTCAAGCCATTGGGTTATGAGCGCATCAACCAAGACACTTTGAAAACGTCAGTTCAGCCCAATATGATCAAGCCCTGCAAATATTAACATAGCAGCAGTCGAGATAAGTGCGTGCAAGCCGCTAAGGAGCTACTGAGTGGAGGCCAATCAATAGCAATAGGTCAGCTCTCGCACGAGTCCTTCAGCCATTCCAGGCACTAATTCAGTACAGACAACACGAATGCTGATCCCGATACGAGAGCTATCTGGGTCCAGCTTGCAGCGAAACACGACGTTTCAATCAGATGTGTTTGGTTCAAGACACCACTTCATATCTGCGAACACAACGATGCCGTACGATCCATGAATGAATCCGTAAGTCCAACTTAAACTGCAAATACATAACTGTAGCTTATGCAGGGCAGCTTAACCCCGAGTCACGAACGGCATTGCCTAGGATGGCCTTCAACGGATTCAAATCCCGCTTCAAGGAACCAAAAGTGAAGGAGGGTTTCCAAGACATCACCGAACTCGAGTTCGCCTTCAGAGGAACTAAGGAAGAGCACGAAGTGTGGGCCAAATATTGGCTTTGATGGCTCAGATCTGCTCCAGAACATTTCCAGCCAACGCGAATGTGCCAGCGGCTCTAGTCGACGAAACTCTGACGCAAGTCCAGCGCAAGTCCCAGCCGAGGGCACGAATGTCTACCATACTTCACGACTGTGTCTGACCTCGACAACGCCTTATACCGGTATATTCGAGAATAGAGAGCAAGCTACCATGGTTAAAGACGGTACCTGAACTCAACATCTCGGTCGCCTGTCCGCTTCTTTCGCGTATCTGGCCCGGCACCTGCAAGAATAACCTCCTTCTCTTTATCTAAGCGTCTGAGGAATAGCCAATGAATGACGATCAGACACTCGGCGACAAATATGGCACCAAGCGAGAAAGTGTTCCCAAGAAGATACGGTGAACTTCTGTATACCTGACCTGCCGCAGCACCGGCCGAATTGCCGATCGTCTGTTGAATCCCAATGGCCGTGGCGCGCCGATATTGTGGTGCAGTATTGACGTTGAGCCATGCCAGGTTCAGCCCTGTGCCGTTGTACACTGCGATGGTGCAGACGAAGCAGGCAAAATATTTGACAGCATTGTTACTGACACCAATCAGTATTGCATAGCCTACTGCGCCAACAAGATTGGTAGTGAAGAGGAACTGGAATCATTAGCTACTCTACTATGAAATTGGCTGGATGCAGGTCAACTCACCATGCCGCACTTTCCGTACTTGTCTGACAGAAAAGCGAAAGTGAAGAATGCCAGTGCGCCAAGGCAATACACGGGTATTGTCAGATAGTTGCTGGCTAGCGTGCCGTGGCCCATGGCGTGTAAGATCGAGGGCAAGAAAGTGCCGAACCCGTTTGTCAAGATGTTCTGGCAAAATTGAGTCCACGCGCTGGGAGCGAAAATGTTAGTAGCTTCTCTCTCTCGTTGGAATCTTCGAGCAATACATACCTGAGCCAAGTCTTTGGGTCCAAGAAAGCGAGCTTCACTTCATTCCAATCAAGCTCATTGCTGCCCATGTAGTCCAACCTCTCCTGATGCCGCATGTCCATGATGGCTCGCTCCTCCTCACCGAAGAAGTACGCTTTGCGGACATCGCTAGGCAATCCGAACCATACAGCAAAGGCGCATGTGATACTAAACGCCCCCTCCATGAGATACACCCATCTCCAGCCAGCGTATCCACCAACGCCGTCCATTTGTAACAACCCGTACGCCAACAGGCCCCCAAAGGCACCGGATAATGCCGTGCACGAGACAAGGTATGACGTGCGCTTCGCGATCTCGTCTCGTTTATATACCATGGTGAGGTACATGTTGAGAGAAGGGAAAAGACCGCCTTCGCAAGCGCCGAGGACCAAACGACAGGCGTACAGGCCGCCGACATTCCGAATCAGACCATTGGCTACTGTCGTGACGGACCAGACTACGCAAAGTGCTGTGAGAACGAAGCGGGGCTCGAAGCGTTTTACGAGGAGTACGGCTGGGACCTCGACGGGCACGTAGGTTACGAAGAAGAGGGATACGGCTGTGGAGTATTGCTGGTTTGTGGCGCCGATTTCTTCGGGCATGCCGGCGACTTTGACGTTTCCTGCATCACGCTTAGAATTGTGATCGGAATTAGGAAGTGGATGACGGAAACAACATTTCCGGTATAATGATGGAGATTCTCAAAGGAACCTATGAAATACCTACCGATATTGGCTCTATCGATGAAGCATGAGAGATAGACGATGAAGAGTACGGGTGTGATGTATAGGTCCAGCTTTCTCACGACTTTGGCTTCTTTGGCACGATCGATATGGATATAGGTTGAATGAGCAACGCTGATATCATGGTTATTGACATCGTGGCTGCTGCTGTTCTTGGTTTCTACTAAGATTTGAGTCTCGGGCATTTCGGAAGAGTCTAGTATTGTACCACTCAGGTGTGAAGTAATATTTCCAAAGATAAGTTGAATGAGAACTTGACTGAAGTATCACTTAAGACATGTCCAGAGTCTACGCAGCCTATGTCATATCATGCCCATCTATAGATTATGGGTTCACCTAATCTTTAGCAACCCAGTCACAACTTCCCAATCGATCTCAAGGATGATGTAAAGATCAGATAAGTTGCTCGCAGCCTCGTTCCGCATTTCGGCACAGAGTCAGGAAAATCCGCAGTTGTAACATGAATACTAGACACTTGAAATTATGTCGCCTTGGCTATCGGGATCCCTCCTCGTCAACCGAGGACTATCGGCGACTGTCGGCGACTGTCGAACGCGATAGGCAAGTAAAGTGCGGTAATGATCGGGTTGAAGCGGGTTGGCGACCCGACTTAACGTTCGTTTTTGACACACGGCGCGGGTCGTGAAGCCGTCTTTATCAATGGGTAACCTCCAGTCAATTCGAGAGCCAGCTGCATGACCCCCAGTCAGAGGGGCCTTTCAAGCCTTTGCAGGTTAAGGTGGCCGCATCCTAATACCCGGGGCTGGGCCTCACATCTGTCATTCAATGTTCTCTTGCGAAGGGAATGTCGACTGTTAGACCCCTCTACTTTGTGATATCCCTTGTTACTCCGCAACAAGATATCCTTCCGATATCACGATAGGTGCTACCTTATGGACAAAAAAAAGACAGGGGTGACAGCAGGCTGACTGGTTCGATGTCATGCCGTGACCTCAGCCAGCCTTCAAGTTGGAAACGCGTCACAGTCCTTGATCAGATGTACTTCATCGAGCTCAGGAAATACCGATTCTCAGGTTCATGAAGCGATAGCTATCTCGGGCCAGCAAGCCGAGTCGCTGATACCCCAGGTTGTCACACCTAGCCCCACTTCGGAGGAGGTTCCGGATGCTTCGGGGTTCGCCTCCGGTGCCGAGCCTGGGAATGCGGCAGCGCTGATAAGCTGCGTGTTGGAGATCGGATGGTGCGATTCGGGGAACAATGCGGGGGATATGCAACCTGATGATTAGATCGGGGACGGACTCCTAGGTAGGAGAGATGGAAAGTGCTTTATAACTTCATTGACCTCAAGTGTCCGAGTGTCTAGCTCAATTGGCTCAGCATTTACCGATTCGATATACCCCGATGATTCTATCTTTCAATCACCTGCATTTCATCGCTGTTCACAATGGGCTCGCTGGGCCCAAGTAGAAAGAAAGTTAGAATCGCGATAGGTAAGTCGAAGGCTTCAGTCGGCAGACTTTCGGCCAGTGTCTTGACAGTCTTTTGCTTACAAAATATCACCAGATCGCGGCGGCACCTTCACCGATGTGCACGCTTACATACCCGGCTCTGATGAGCCAGAGATGGTGTTCAAACTCCTTTCAGTTGACCCAAGAAACTACAAAGATGCACCGACCGAAGGTATAAGACGCGTCCTGGCGCATTACAGAGGCGCACCAGTATCCCGCGATGAGCCCCTTGACATCTCCGACGTCGAATCAGTTCGAATGGGAACGACTGTGGCGACGAACGCCCTGCTAGAACGACAGGGCGAGCGCGTAGCGTTCCTGACGACCATGGGCTTTCGGGATTTGCTCGTCATTGGCAACCAGGCCCGGCCGCACATCTTTGATTTGAGTATCCACAAGTTGCAGAATCTGTACGAGAAAGTTGTCGAAATTGAAGAGCGTGTGACGATGGAGGAGTTCTTGGAGAATCCGGAGAAACAGCCTATTGATGTTGAAAGCGATCCAGAGCTTGTGAAGGGATTGACGGGCGAGCTGGTTCGAATCCTCAAAAAACCTGATCTGGGGGTCGTAGAAAGCCAGCTGAGGGATCTGAAGGCTGAGGGCTTTAAGAGTGTTGCGATTTGCTTCATCCACTCCTATCTCTACCCCAATCACGAGAATGAGGTAGCGGAACTAGCGCGATCCATGGGCTTCGATGTTTCCGTGTCTTCTGAGCTGCAGCCAACGGTAAGACCAACCCCCCTTCTCTCATGCACTGCTTCACAGGCTCACATCCGTCTAGATCAAGATGGTATCCCGAGGAAACTCAGCAAACGCCGACGCGTACCTCTCCCCCCTTATCCGCCGTTACGTCCGCGACTTTGGCAGCGGCTTCAAGGGCGGCCTAGACGCCATCGCGAGCAAGCTCCTCTTCATGCAAAGCGACGGTGGGCTGTGTCTCTGGCAGAACTTTTCTGGGTTGCGCGCCATCCTTTCCGGTCCCGCTGGTGGTGTCATCGGTTTCGGCAAGTCCTGCTATGATCCCGAGACCAAGATGCCTGTGATTGGCTTCGATATGGGCGGCACTTCGACGGACGTCAGTCGCTTTTCGGGCACGTATGATCATGTATTCGAAACGGAAACGGCCGAGGTCACGTTGCAGACACCACAATTGAATATCAATACTGTTGCTGCTGGTGGCGGCTCAATTTTGCACTGGAAGAATGGGCTATTTGCGATTGGACCCGACGTGAGTTATGACAACATCTAAGCAGCTCTTCGGCGCAGTGAACTAACATCAACTTATAGTCTGCCGGCGCCCATCCAGGACCGGTGTGCTACCGGAAGGGTGGACCCCTCACAGTCACCGACGCAAATCTCTTCCTTGGTCGTCTACGTCCCGAATACTTCCCTTCCATCTTCGGACCAAAGGAAAACGAGCCCCTCGACTACGACGCAGCAGCCGCAGCTTTTCACACTCTGACCGAGAAGATCAACACCGAAGAGGGGAAGTCATTTACCCCGGAAGAGGTCGCTAGCGGCTTCCTCCGCGTCGCCAATGAGAGCATGAGCAGACCTATACGCTCGCTTACAGAAGGCAGAGGTATTCGAACGTCAGACCATGTTTTAGCTACATTCGGAGGCGCTGGCGGACAACACGCATGTGACGTCGCTGAAGCGCTGGGCGTGAACCGCGTCGTCATACACCGGTTGTCGTCCATCTTATCTGCGTACGGCATGGCGCTCGCGGACTTGACGCATGAGATTCAGCGTCCCAAGGCGGCTGAGCTTTCTAACCTCTCTGACAAGCAGCTGTCGGAGGAGTTCAAGGTTTTGACGGATGAAGCTACGGCGACTTTGGTCGCTCAGGGTTTCTCAGATGAACAGATCGAGCACGAGCTGTTCCTCAACCTGCGGTATAAAGGCACCAATAGCTCGCTCATGATTCGGAAGCCTGAAGTGTCGTGGGATTTCACTCGTCAATTTGTCGAGCACCATGAAGAAGAATTCGGCTTCGTTCTGAACCGCGACATCCTTGTGGAAGACATTCGCGTCCGCGCGTTGGGCAAGACGCCCAATTCCAACGTGACCAGCGTATCGCAAGCTCTGAAGTCTGTTGAGACTAGGCTAGTAGAGAGCAGCAAGAAGGCTAGCACTACGAAGCTGTACACAAGCGGAAAATGGCATGAAGTCGACCTCTTCAAGCTCGAAGATCTTGCACCGGGTGAGCGGGTCGTTGGTCCGACAATCATCCTGGACCAGACTCAGACCATCATGATTCAGCCGTCCTGGACTGCAACCGTGCTTCCCCGGCACCTACTTCTCGACAAGGATTCAGTCTCGCAAAGCTCCGTCGGTCTTCCAGCAGAGACAGACGAGGTCGATCCGATCCAGCTGTCAGTATTCGGCCACCGATTCATGAGCATAGCGGAGCAGATGGGCAGGTCACTGCAAATGACTTCAGTCTCCGTTAACATCAAGGAGAGGCTGGATTACTCTTGTGCTATATTCTCACCTACAGGCGGTCTAGTCGCCAACGCGCCGCATATCCCGTGTCACCTGGGTGCAATGAGCTATGCGGTGGCATACCAGGCTGAGCGCTGGGGTAATTCCCTTCGCCCAGGAGATGTGCTCGTCTCCAACCACCCCGCCGCCGGCGGATCACATCTCCCTGACGTGACAGTAATCTCACCAGTGATTGACGAAGACACCAACGAGGTCCTCTTTTGGACAGCTTCTCGAGCTCACCATGCCGACATTGGTGGCATCTCTGCTGGCTCCATGCCGCCGCATTCCAAGGAGATCTGGCAGGAGGGAGCTTCATTCCTATCCTTCAAGCTGGTCGACGGGGGCAGATTCGACGAGGAAGGTCTTGCTGAGATCATGCTCAAAAAGCCGGCGTCGTACCCAGGGTCTTCTGGAACGAGGACTTGGAATGATAACGTGAGCGATCTGAAGGCGCAGATAGCTGCTAATCAGAAGGGCATCAGGCTCATACAGGACTCTATCAAGGAGTACGGTCTACCGACAGTTCAGGTAAGTGCAGTCTATCCAAAGAAGACAACCGTGGTTGGAGCAAGTAACAGTTAACGGTCAACAACAGAAATACATGCTCGGAATTCAGAACAACGCCGAGAAGGTAGTCCGAAACCTTCTCCGCCGAGTCCACGATCAGTTCGATGGTCTCCCACTCGAGGCTGAGGACCAGATGGACGATGGTTCCAAGCTCAAGCTCAAGATTCGCATCAATCGCGAAGAGGGCTCTGCTGTCTTTGATTTCACAGGGACCAGTCGGGAGATGTACGGCAACCTCAACGCACCCCGCGCCATCACCTTTAGCGCCATCATCTACGTCTTGCGCTCGCTAGTCAAGGAGGACATTCCGTTGAATCAGGGTTGCTTGGCTCCCATCAGCGTCATCATACCCTCTGGGACAATTATATCTCCTTCGCTGGGTGCTGCTACAGTCGGTGGGAATGTCGAAACGTCACAGAGAGTGACGGATGTGGTGTTGAGAGCGTTCCAGGCTGCAGCGGCTAGTCAGGGAACGTGTAATAACTTGACTTTTGGGTATGGAGGTGAGATGGTCGACGGAAAAGCAAAGCCTGGGTTCGGGTACTACGAGGTAAGCCATCGATCCTTTCTCACCCCGTTAGTCTTCGTTTACTAAGTCCCATCGAAATCTAGACCATTGCAGGCGGCGCCGGTGCGGGACCGAGCTGGGAAGGCCAGTCCGG